GACTAGAACTTCAGTCACTTGCTGCACAAATATTCATAAAAATAGGATACAGAGGTAAAATTCTGCATCTCTAGGACTATGTAATGGATAATGGTTAATGGTTAAAAGCAAAATAAATGTGCTAGACATCTAAGGTCATGTAGCACCATAGTAAATGGTAGTGAAGGGTGGTTGAGTTAGTGGTTAGTTGTCAAAGCTGGGCAAAGGAATTGACGAGTGAATGGGTTAAGGTCGGGTAAGGTAATGTAAAGGGGTTAGATCAAGTGAAGGATATATATGCGTTTAAGGAAGAAAAACAGGTTGTCAAAGCAGAAAGTGTGAGATTCTGTAAGGATGTCTGATAGGTTGGGAGGTCGGTGAAGGGAGGATAGGTGGGGGGGAAGGCAGAGGTCAGGGCTGCTTCAAAACATGGGCATGACAATAGAATGTGTAGAACTGCACGAGGGACAAAAGTCTCTTGAAGGTATATAATGGATGGGTTATAAGAGGAAAGGATATGGCGAAGGTCGGGTCTGTGAGAAGGGAAACCGCGAATATTCCAATGAAGGATAGTTATACTTTCGTTGATTTATGAGTGATAACGGTTGTAGTACGTGCTGGAGAATTTGAAGGGGAAGAAGCTAGAGGGTGGGATAAGGAATGAGAAGGGGGAGGTGGTGTTGTATCAGGAGAGGTATTAGGAGGTGGAGGGTCTGGGGAAGAAGATAGTTGTGATTTAAGGGATTCACGTGTGTATCCAGGAGGGAGTGGAAGGGATAGAGGGGATGGCGGGAGGGTTAATGTAGGTGGGGCTGGAGTCGGGGGGGATGGGCTGTGTTGGGAGGGGGTAGGAGGATAGGGTGTAGGGGGGATATGAGTAGGAGGATGTGCTTCCTGTCTGGCTTCACGTAGAGCGAGTCCAAGTCTGAATCTGAGAGTTGCTACCTCACTCTCAAATTTGTAGGTGGGGCAGGCCTTATAAAATAAATTATGGGGGTCGCCACAGTTGGCACATGTGCGTGATTGTGCTGAGCAGTTTGATCGAGTATGGCCAGGTTGGGCACATAACGGGCTGTGGAACAGCAATGTTTGGCAGGATGTCCTAAACGCCAACTATTTTGGCACTGACGAGGAGGAGGTTGATATGGTCAGACAGGGAAGGATTCTCCACCGATGTAAACATTAAAGGGAAGGTCATGTCTACGGAAAGTAATTTTGGCAATGTTAGTAGGGTTCTTAAGATTACCTCTGGGAGGAATGGAGTAGCATTGTACTGATATAGCATCATAGTCCATGAGATGGACGAGTAAGTCTTCTCCACAATCTGACCAATTTTTGTTATAGATTGGGCAATTTGCTGGGGAGATAGAAACAGTTCCGGTGGAAATTTTAAGGGTTGGATGGGGTTACCATATAGATCAGTTAGATTTGCTAATGCTAAAGCTTGGTTTTCAGATGTTACTGTGACGAGACGGGAACGGTCGGGTCGGCTACGGAAAGAGATTTTGCTTACTTGTTTTTGGAGACATTGCTGGAAGAGAAGGGTGTTGTCAGAGTAGGGAGCTGTGGGAGGGATCACAAGAAATCGGTCCCATTTGGCTGGGCTAAATAGAGTATTTAAGATTGTTGTAGAGATGGGGGTAGTAGAAGGTCGGGGCGAGTGGAAGAGGGAGTAGTGTTGAGGGAGGTAGTGTTATGGAGAGGTGGGCAATAAGGCTGTAGAGTAGTAATAATGGAGGATGGGGTATTTGATGAAGAAGGTTGTGGGGGTAGAGGTGTTGAAGTTGAGCATGTTGGGAGAGTAGAAATGTCTCCTGGGGTCAGGGAATCTGGAGAGTTTGAATTGGTGGGGCTATTTGATTGAAGGGGCAAGTCTCATTGCCCCTAATAATGGTATAACATCGTCATTGTTGGCCATGGTAAGCCTAGAGTATGTTGGGGAGAGAAACAGTCCACCCTTCAGGGTCCCTTTGAGGGGTTAGGGCTAGGCAACTAAAGCAGGGGAATACCATGCCCATGGCTCCCTCAAGCCATTCAGGACTGGCACAAAGTCAGCCTTTCATCCTTTCAGCACAGCTTAGGAAGTGGATAGTAATAGGGGTTGGTGAAGGGACAGAACCGAAAAAGTAGGAGGGGGAAAAAAAAAACGTGCAAAATCAGTTGAGTCGAGGGCAGAGTCCCAAGGTTTGGGAGTTCCCCAGCATTGGGTCCCAGTCTCCGCCTCCTAAGCCCCCCCCCCCCAATGGGGGGAGGGGCAAGGGCTTGGGGGGTAGGACTATATAAGAACATTTCTAAATGGTTAATGGTTAAAAGCAAGATAAATGTGCTAGACATCTAAGGTCATGTAGCACTATAGTTAATGTTAGTGAAGGGTGGTTGAGTTAGTGATTAGTTGTCTAAGCTGGGCAAAGGAATTAGTGAGTGAAAGGGTTAAGGTCGGGTGTTATATTAGATAAAGGGTATGCATAAGAAAGGTTTCTTGAAGGCATACAATAGATGGGTTATAAGAGGAAAGGATATGATGGTCAGGTCTGTGGGAGCGGAAACCGCGAATATTCCAATGAAGGATAGTTATACTTTCGTTGATTTAGTGATATAGATTGTAGTACGTGTTGGAGAATTTGGGCTGTGTTGGGAGGGGGTAGGAGGGTAGGGTGTAGGGGGGATATCGTTAGGAGGAGGATGGATATCAGCAATTACTTGGAGTGTGGAAGGAGCAGGAGTTGTAGGTTGAGTGTCAGTTTTCATTAAGTAATCTTGAATATTTTCAATAGTTTCTTCTGTGTAGTTGGTTGGGGAGTTTTGGGGGATAAAGGATTTCTTGTGAGGGGGGGGGAAGAGAGGACTGGTGTCTCAAGAGTACGGGCAAAGGATGGTGGGGGTGATTGTGTGGTAGGGGAAGAGGGGGTGGAACGTTTGTTCTGTCTGTTACGGGGAGTGCGAGGAGGGAGAGGGGAAGGTGTTGGGGTTGTAGTGGTGATTGGAGTATCTGTAGTAGAGATTGGAGTTTCTGGATTTAGGATGGCAAAAGAGTTTGACTGGGGAAGGTAGGTGGGGTTAGTGGGGGGTTAGATGTAGGAGGGGTGGGTTTAGGAGAAGTGTTAGAATGAGCAGTATTACTGGAGTAAGGAGTAAGAGAGAATCCACGTCGACGTGCTTCCTGTCTGGCTTCACGCAGTGTGAGTCCGAGTTTGAATCTGAGAGTTGCTACCTCAGATTCAAATTTGTAGGTGGGACAGCCCCTATAAAATACATTATGGGGGCCGCCACAGTTGGCACATGTGCGTGATTGTGCAGAGCAGTTAGATCGGGTATGGCCAGGTTGGGCACATAATGGGCATCTGGCTGTGGAACGGCAGTGTTTGGCTGGGTGTCCTAGACGCCAACAATTTTGGCACTGACGTGGAGGAGGTTGGTATGGACGAACAGGGAGGGATTCTCCTCCTATGTAGACGTTAAAGGGAAGGTCATGTCTACGGAAGGTAATTTTGGCTATGTTAGTGGGTTTCTTTCGATGACCTCTGGGGGGGATGGAATAGCATTGTACTGATGTTGCATCGTAGTCTGTGAGACAGGCAAGTAGATCTTCTCCACAATCTGACCAATCTTTGTCATAGATTGGGCAATTTGTTGGTGAGATTGAGACTGTTCCGGTGCAAGTATTGAGGGTTGGATGGGGTTCTGCTAGGATGGGGTCATATAGGTCAGTTAGTTTTGTTAATGCTATGGCTTGGTTTTCGGATGTTACTGTTACAAGACGGGAGCGGTCGGGTCGGCTACAGAAAGAGACTTTACCTACTTGTTTTTGGAGGCATTGTTGGAAGAGAAGGGTGTTGTCAGAGTAGGGAGCTGTGGGAGGGATCACGAAAAATCGGTCCCATTTGGCTGCACTGAAGAGAGTATTCAAGATTGTTTTAGAGATAGGGGTGGTAGAAGGGCGAGGGCGTGACGAAGATGGAGTAGTGTTGATGGAGGTAGTGTTATGGAGAGGTGGGCTATAAGGCTGTAAGGTATTAATAAGGGAGGATGGGGTGGTTGATGTTGGAGGTTGTGGGGGTAGAGGTGTTGAAGTTGGGCATGCTGGGAGAGTGGAAATGTTCCTTGAGGGTTGATTGTTGGCTACTGTACTAGTAGGCATTGGTGAAGGGGCAGTTATTGCAGTGTTCGGAGCTGTAGTCAAAGGAGAGCCTGGGGTCGGGGAATCGGGTGGGTTTACTTCTTTGGGGCTATTTGATAAAGGGGCAAGCCTCATTGCCCCTAACAGTGGGGATATATTTTCATTACTGGCCATGGTAAGCCTGGTTATGTTGGGGATAAAAACAGTCCACCCCTCAGGGTCCCCTTGAGGGGTATGGGCTAGATACTAAATCAGGGGAATACCGTGCCCATGGTTCCCTCAGGCCGTTCAGGACTGGCACAAAGTCAGCCTTTCATCCTTTCAGCACGGCTCTCACACCTTAGGAGGTGGATAGCAGAAGGGTTTGGTGAAGGGAGAGAAACAAAAGTGGGAAGGGAAAAAGAGACCATGCATAATTAGTTGAGTCGAGGGCTGAGTCCCAAGGTTGGGGAGATCCCCATCATTGGGTCCCAGTCTCCGCCTCCTAAGCCCCCCCACGACAACAACGGGCAAGGGATTGGGGGGGGAACATTTCTAAAGCAAGAGTTATATACCCCTCTCATCCAATTCACTTTACATTTGAGAATATCCTAATGTAATAAAATGTCGAGCTGAAAGGTCATATACTAATCCTTTCCAACATGTAGCACACATGAACCACTCAGTTCTTCATGGCCCACCATGCATGCCACTTTACAAAATCAATAATCTTGCTTAAAGGTGCACAAAATAGCCCAAGCAACACATAAAACTGAACAGTTAGGGCCACAGTAGTAAAGACATTATTTCTTCTATTAACAGTGTACCAATGAAAATATCAGCTGCCCAGGTTATGTGATTTTAGGGCACAAAGGCTTGGAATCATCAGCATATAAGGAGGGTTATATGTGCAATCAAAAATACATTTTATGAAAACATGTTTATTTCCTAAAGTTGTATATATTTATTTATATATATCTATATATATTTATTCAGAGGACAGTGTTAAAATGAGTGCCTAAAACCAGAAGTCAAATGCTTGTGGGAATATAAAAAGGAAACTCCATACAAAATGCACTGGTTGTAGATTATTTACAAATAATAATAATGATCATAACCATATCATACTGACAATAATAATAATGGAAATAAATGAAAAGTTAAACCAATCCTTCATTTTGTCTGGACAGAATAGTACTAGAAGATTTGATAAAGGTGAAGCATGATATAGAAAAAAGGACTGCAAATCAAAGAGGGGAAAAAACTCATAGCCAGAAAATACCCGATTGACTGCAATGTCCGACAGAGTTGATCACGACAGTTTGAGTTATGGATTCCTTTCCAAATCTTACCCTTATCTTTAATGTATTGCCCTCACCAAGAAGAGTCAACCTTGAACCTAGCTAAATGAGATCATTGTGAAGCAGAACTTTTTAAATGTAAATGAAACACATTATGAGTAAAATTAAAAGTTAGTAGCATATCATTGGCATCAGCTTACGTTAATCAACTTTAATATGTTAAGCACATTGCAGACAGTATACTTTGAAATACAGAATTACCCATAAAAAATGTATTACACATGAAACTTGCAAGAGTAAATATGTTTGGTTAAGTCAGTACGGTTAAATGAGCAATGTTTAGTTAACGGCAGTAATTGTTGTGACAATCTCATAACAGAAAATGTTAAGCTATAATGATTAAATAAAAGACCAGAATGCACTAATGCCTTACTTAACATTTACACTGCTTTCAGCCCAAGAATAGTTAAGGCCACATTAACTGATTAAAAAAAAAAGGATCACAAAATTACCTGTATTTAGCTAGTAAACATATGTATAAAATTTCTATGAAAGGCTACATAACGGAAGGCTTCCTTAAATCACAATACAAAACATCAGACTATTAACTCCAAGCATACTGCTGACCCACGCCGAACCGCCCCCGGCCAGACAGAGGGTCAGGAACGTCCAAGGACAATATACACAAGTGCCATGCCGCGAGTTAGTATTCTGACAAAGCCCCCCCAAAGGACTATTTGTCGTCCCCATTATTCTTCTTGTAGTGTTCTACCAGGTGTTTCTTGTATGCCACTTGGTTGGCCCAGAGCTCCGCTGCATGGCCGTTCAGGGGACTGTCATTATTCGGTTCTGGCAGAGAAAAATAAAGAATTAAAATCCTAATCTATTAACCTAAGAAATGTAATAGAAAACCTAATATTCTATGATCTTCTATCAGTCCAGTCCTATTGGAGCAGTCATGTTCTCAGACTAGGAAATCAACATCCCTTCAATAATAATAATGACAATAAAAATAATAATTCATATATTTATATTGATAATTTTTAAGAGAATCAAAATTGTGGTTTCATTTTGTTACACCAATTTGATATTTCTATACTGTTCAGCTATTGTCAATAGATGTGAAAAAAATAGGACTAGACTAGGAAATCAACATCCCTTCAATAACAATAATGATAATAAATAATAATTTTATTATTATTAATAACAACAACGAAAAAAATCATAATTATACATTATATATTCATATATGTATATATATTCTATATATTATGTATATCACGTATATTACTTATATTACATATATTATATATATATATATAATACATACAATCTTTAAGAGAATCAAAATTGTGGTTCCATTTTGTCACATCCATTTGATTTCTCTGTATTGCTATTGTTTCATTTATGTAAACCAGGGACAAGGTATAACAGTGTTATTATTGGAGTATGTGGTTGAATGTGGCAAAGTCAAAACACTGATGAGTTCTACTCCTACTATCCATCAATCACATACACAGATCATAACAAAAATTTGACATACATATGGTATTTGCTTACCAAATGGAGTAAAGAAACTTGTGTCTACAACTGCCTAAGTGCAATAGTTACTTTGTCACATATCTACCCAAAAGCCACACGTATCTTTAATAGATACATAGCTGATTGGTTAATAAGCAATATTCATGATGCAATCCTCGTAATCACACATTACACAGTTTATAAATAGACCTGTTTTTATGTATGACAAGTTTAGCATATAATACATGGCCTGTTCAATGTGATTTTAATTTTGTTTACACACATGGCTCAACAAGCACCAAGATTTGATTATTAGGCTTATCTTATCTCACCTACTTAAGCTATTCCTTAAATCATTGGTAATAATGTACTTTTATTCCTATACAAATTGCTAATAGAGTTATAACAATAATGTCAGTAATAACAATAATAGTGTTAGCTAGAAAAACTGTCACAAACTTGGGGAATGGGGTAAAGAGGGAGGTTTAAACAAGTTTTATAATCATTTTTGATGAAGCGCTTGTGAATAGTTAACAGTTAAAACAAATAAATGTGCTAGACAGCACTTGTGAAGCCATATTTGTAGTAAACAAAGATGAATAAAACTAAAGCTGAGAGTGGATGTGTGAAGTGAAAATAGTTAACATTGAAAATACAAATTCTAACATTAAAGCACAAGCACCTTAGAGGAGGATGTTAGAAAAAATTAAGTGTAGAGGCTTTCCACTTTAAGTTCAAGATAATACTGAATGTTCAATTGCAGTCTATCCATTTTTCTTTATTTTGTAGCTAACGTAAATTAAAGAGAAAAACCAATGCCAACAGGCATGACATGTTCGTACGTGCTATGCCCACTGTGAGTTACTTGTTTGATTGTTTTTACACATAGATGGCTACACTTGTACCAAGTCACCAATGAGCCAGTTACGAGTACTGCCTGTCTCGGCTGTTTACCCTTTTCTTTGATTTATGAAAACATTTTAAGTTATCTTATTTTGCTGTTACTAATGTTTTTAAATATTATAGTAATTATAATGTTTATAATAAAAAAAAAAAAAAATTGATATTCATAGCACTAGTAAAAAATGTTTTTCCTGCCAATTCAAAGCAGGTAAGGTCACAAGATTTACTAACTAACTCCTTTGTGGCTAAGCACTAGCAGAGCCATCTATATGCATAGACATTTCACAAAAATATAGAAAATGAGCTCAGCATTTTCCTCATTTTTTATTCATTTTCCCCTGGCGTCATTGGGTTAAAATACAGGATAATTGGCAGTCATCACTAAGTAATGATAATAACCAATGACCAAATTTTCTGCTGCAAATAAGATACACATTTAGGATTTGTAAGTAATATATGACAACTGCTGACCAGTAATGTGCTTAGATGATTGGCATTGGCATTAACTGGGTGGTTGCTCTGAGCATTTTACATGTTTGGTCTCATTTAGATTATTTTCTCCAGAAAGAAATAATGAATACACTGCATTCATGGACTCAATATTATCTCTCACAATGTTTATCCTTTTTTAATATCCTCTTCAAAGTTCCAATTTAACATTCAGATTTTAACACTGTTAAACAGAAATTGTTTGTCATAAACTGTGAAAATAAGTGTGAATATAATGATATCAATAAAAGCATTGTATATCATGCCCACATGATGAAATACAGCCCAGCAGTCATTGCTCATCACTGAGGTAAGTAGGTAGACATAATTGTATTGTTGTCCATACAATGTCTTGCTCAGTCAAAGTCAAGTAAATGATCAATAGTTAAAACAAATAAATGAGTTAGACATCTAAGGTCATATAGTAATAAGATGAATTATTGTGGTAAAAACGGTAAACAAGTTAATGATGTGTGAAAAGGATAAAGAGAAGGAGCAACTCGAGCAAGGTAGAGTTTAGTAAAAGGGAGTAGGGGGTTAAGGTTGTAGGGCAAAGAGATCAAAAGGAGAGTAGAGGAAAAAAAGAAAGGAGGAAAGGAAGAGATACTGTACAAGGAACAGAGCAAAAGGGCCGATATGAAGCAATCAACAGGTAATAAGGGTAAAAATGGGTGTCAGAGAAGTGGGAGGAGAAGAACCCAGGGAATGAGAAAGGAATAGGGGAAGGTGGTGAAGTATTAAGAATACATCAGGAGGGGAAGGATCCAAGAAGTCACATGAGCATCCAGGAAGAAGCACAAGAGGTAATGGGAAAGAGGGTGGGAAAGGTACAGATGAAAAAAGGACGGATGGGGTATCTTGGAAGAGAGGGGGAGGAAGAGGGGTAGAGGATGGATTGTACTTTGAATGGAGAGAGAATGGGAGTAGAAAGATTGAAGGATGAATGAAGGAGAGGCACTTTCTCTTGGGTCATGTTTAGGAAGTTTTGGATGTCCTCAAAAGTTTCTAGTGGGAGTTAGGTGGAGAGGTCTGTGGCTTTCTTAAGAAGAGCGGAGGAGACAGATGTCCAAGGAGCAGAGGAAGAGGTGGGTGTCGTAGAAAATGTGGAAGGAGATGGAGTGGAACACTTAGGTTGCCTGGTGCAACAGGTAAAGCTTCAATGCCACTAATAAGAGTACAAAATCTTCATTAATGGCCAAGGTGAGCCTGAAATGTGGGGATGAGAAACAGTGTACCCCTCTGGGTCCCCATGAGGGGTATGGGTTAGCTGATTAACCAAGGGAATAAAGCACCCATGGCGGTCCAAGGCTATTCCAAGATAGCCTATTTAACTGAATGACGAGCAATAACTGCAATAAGCTGATAACTACTATAGGCATTTCTAACCCCACTGGATTCTGGTTCCTCACTCTCACACTTTGGACAGTGGGATCATTTAACCCATTCGCGCCGGGTAAAAATGAACAAAAAATGGGAGAAAATGCTGTGCTCATATTTTATACTTTTTGTGAAATTTCTCTACACTAGATGGCTCTGCCTTACCTGATTTCATTTGGCGGGAAAATGTATTTTTACTAGTACTATGAATATCGATGGTTATTTTTATTATAAACATTATAATTACTATAATGTTAGTAACAGCAATATAAGATAACGTATAATATTTTCGTAAATTAAAGAAAAGGGTAAACAGGCGAGACAGGCAGTACAAGTACAAGTGCAGCCATCTATGTGTCAAAACAATTAAACAAGTAAACTCACAATGGGCCCGTCACATATACGTGACACCCGTCGTGAATGGGTTAAGTGGTGCCATGACTCTCCCTGGAGTACAGCTTGTAAGCTTGTCTATAAGAACACTTCTGTGCAGTATCAAGTTTCCTTGCCCCCCTCCTTGCAATGCTGGAAGTTCTTTTTCTACAGATTCAGTTTTACAGTTTTGACATTTTCTGAGGTAAAAAATTTGTCATCTCTTATACCATATCAAGAAGATTATAGATTATTTATGTAAACCCATTGGATCCAGATGCTTCACTGCCAGCCAATTACGCGTACCACTGTCTCGTCCGTTCACCCTTTTCTTTGATTTACAAAATATTTTACGTTATCTTATTTTGCTGTTACTAATGTTAAAAAACATTATAAAAATTATAATGTTTATGATAAAAATAACACCAATATTCATGGCACTAGTGAAAAATATGTTTTTCCTGCCATTTCAAATCAGGTGCTAACAGAGCCATCTATGGGCAGACATTTAACAAACAAGTATAGAAAATAGGTACAGCATTTCCCCCATTTTCTGTTCATTTTCCCCGGCGGCAATGGGTTAAGCAGCCATTCTGCAAATGTGTGGCTTGTAGGCTGGGTGCAGTCACAAGACTCCATGCCTCCCCTTTTCAATGTTTTCTTCTTTTTCTGGATAAACAATTTTTTTTTTTTTTTTTTCTAGTCTCTGTCAAATGATTTGCTTTATCCAGTTAGTAATAGACTATTTTCTTTGCACAGACTCTGTATCATCTCTCTAAGTAGGCATAACTCAGTGCAATAATAATAGTAATAAGTAACATTGTTATTAGTGTCACTATTTTTTTCTCGTAATATTCAATTTTCTGTGATACAAACTGTGCCACGGCAGCCAAGAATAGGATCCTGTACATGGAAATATAATTTTCCCTGGAACCAGTGCTTTTCCAGTCATAGCTCATGGACAGTACATCCCACACTCACTTATTGATGGGAACAACAAAAAAGAAAAGAAAGGAAAAAAAGAAAGAAAAAGAAGAAGAAAAAATCCGAGAAGCAAAATGAGTTGAATCATCCTCTAAAGGCTTTGTCGCAAGTCATTCCCATCACCCCCAGCCTTCAGCCAAAAAGCTCACGATGGCAATTTCAGGTCACGCTACCCCAATAACCAAAATTTCCCATAAAAGCTTGCTGACGATACCTTCCCCAGAAGCCAAATCTTTTTCATGGTGTGATGGTCAAGTCATTCAGTTCATAGGGGCTAAGCAGACTCAATAAGATCTTTGGGTAATTTACACTCCATGCAAAAATAGTATAGTAAGTAAAATTTATGTTTATTATTTTTTTTTTTTACATTATCCTATGCTGCCGGTAACAGTGGACAGGAATTGGCTCCAGCAAAGGGTTATAGTATCATCCCTGGAGCTGGCTTCCCCCCAGTCAAGTCTCATAGATGGTATACTCCATCCTTGTTTAACCTTTCAAAAGGACCACTGAGGCAATCTTCCACCAAAGGCTTTATATACTCATAGCAAGACACCCCGTCACTCAACACTTAGCTGCAAGAAACTACTGCGAGTCATTCCCATCACCCTGGCCCTTAGTCAAAAATTTCCTCCAGTGAGACTTCCCCATCACCTGCCCCTTCCCAATTTTATCCATGATAAGACATCCCCATCACCTGGATGCAGTGGATCAAGGTAGTATCACAACAGAAATGAAAATACAGGTTTCCAACCGACTTCTACACACTTATCAATAACGAAAAAAAATGCTGTTACAAATTCCACTGAAATAAAGTGAAGTGGGGGGATTTACATACCTCCAAGTAATGACTGGATCGAAAGGAGAATCGACCGCACATCATATGACGCAGACCACTTTTCTTTCAAGATGTCTAGACAGATGTTACCATGGAGGTCAACATTTGGATGGAAGCATGAGGTAACAAACTTGACTGTTGGTGCGCTGTATGGATAACTGCTGGGGAATTCTAGAGACAGTTTGTAAGAGAGTCCCTCATACACCTGAAATAAGCATAAAGACTAAGTAAAAATAGTTTAACTCGAATTATGTGTCATGTAAATCTTAATAAATACAAAAATCCTTTGACATAATATTTAAACTATAAGACAATAAAAAATCTGAAGATATATAACAATACTGCAACTTACTAAAACAGTAATAAGTTGATAAGATTTAGTTATTATGTATATTATCATAAACATGCTAAGTATGCAAGTACACAAATTTGAAAAAAAAAATAAATAAAAATAAAAATAAAAAATAAATAAATAATAAATAAATACACAAATAAAATAAACAAAAATAAATAAATAAAAACAAATAAATAAATGAAATATATAAAGTTTATACAAGGTCTCATTAAGGAATCCTACCGTGGATGCTGGACCAGTGATTGTGCCGACCCATTTGAAGAGATTGTCACCTTCTGGGAAAGCCGAGATGCCTTTGTTCGCTGACATCATCAAAGTCATGAGCTCATGTTGAAGTCTGTGGAGGAGAAGGAAGTTTTAGTTTTACAGTTTCATAGAAGAAAATTAAAGAAAGTAAAGAAAATACAATTATGAATTTAGTAGAAAGATCCACATTAAGAGGGGAGTGCATCAAGGATGCATACTATCACCCATTCTCTTCAATATCTATAGTGAAAACTTGATAAAAGAGGCATTACATCAAAGAAAAGGGATGGTCATAAATGGTAAAAATATTAATAATGTCAGATATGCGGACGACACTTCTTTGATCGCGGAGACAGCAGAAGGTTTACAACAGTTAATGGGAAATTTGAATTCTACGTGCAAGAAGTACGGAATGGAACTGAACACTAAGAAGACGAAGGTAATGGCTATATTGAAGAAGGAATCCCACTAGTAAAGGTCAACGTCGATGGCACGGAGTTAGAACAAGTCAAGAAGTACAAGTATCTGGGAAGTATAATCACAGAAAATGGCAAAGACGAAATTAGATCAAGAATAGGAATGGCAAAGAACATGTTCTACCAGCATAAAGAATTGATAGACCGCAACATCACTTTCCAGACTAAGATCAAAATTCTGAAACTATACATATTAGTTGCAGAGGATGGGTCAGTGTTGGACAATGAATAAAGAAGCACAGAGAAGGATAACAGCATTGGAAGTTGCTGGTGTTGGAAGGATTGGTGGAAGGGAAGAGAGAGAGGGGGAGACAGAGAGGGACCTGGTTTGACAACATCAAGGAATGAGCTAGAGCTGGATCATATGTGGAATACAAGAGGAAAGCAGAAGAGTGAGAGAGAGAGAGAGAGAGAGAGAGAGAGAGAGAGAGAGAGAGAGAGAGAGAGAGAGAGAGAGAGAGAGAGAGAGAGAGAGAGAGAGAGAGAAAGAGAGAGAGAGAGAGAGAGAGAGAGAGAGAGAGAGAGAGAGAGAGAGAGAGAGAGAGAGAGAGAGAGAGAGAGAGAGAGAGAGAGAGAGAGAAACTACAAAGCTGAGAGTTTTCATAAACAGCAGTATCCTTGAATATTCAACTAAATATTCTATTACCTCAAGGAAGAAAAATAATTAGAAAATGCAACAGCCCTGTCGCATCCTTTCATTCTATACCTGTGGTTAATGGTTAAAAAGCAAGATAAATGTGCTAGACATCTAAGGCCATCTATACCAGTGGTTCCCAACTTTTTCTATTACATGGCCCCCCACCAATACATGATATTCATTACCCCATTCAATGTCTCATCTTTCTAGATTCATTTATTACTGAATTCCAATTTACTGATACACGAGAGATAATTATCTGTAGGCATTGTAGGCGAGACTAAGACCAGTTTAATTCAGTCAAATTTTCAAATTGTTCCATGGCCCCCAGGTTGGCAACCCCTGTTCTAGACAAAAAGCAATGACTTAAAAAGAATATCTCTAGATTTTGAAATAAGGTGGTCTTTAAAACCCAGAAGAGTGACTCTTCATTGTTGGAGATGCTGTTCCATGAATCCATTCAAAGCAAAATCTAGTTTTCATATCACTTAAACACTTTATGAAGTGGCAAACAGCAGGACTACACTTTCTTTTACAAAAAAAAAAAAAAAAATAAATAAATAAATAAAAAACAAACAAAAAAAATGTGTGGAAAAAAAATCCTGTGGATACTTTTAAACCTTAATTATCATTTACTGTATTTCATGTATAAATTCTATAAGGATTCTAGAAAGAAAAGCAAGTATTACAGCTTTTGTTACTTCATACATGTACCTGGATATTTACTAAAAATCAGATTCAGATGATATGGAAAGGCAATCCCATAAACTTAGAGAGAGAAACATGTTCAACAAGAAAATTGTCACTAAAGGCTATACTTTCCTTTTATACATATTACTTACACATCACTAGTTAGTAAAACAACTTATCTACAACAGAAATGAAAAAACCTGTCCAAGTGACTGTCAAACCAACCCTTAGCTGCTATGAAATGATATATAATTGGATTTCAATACTGCTATACACAGAACATTCAGTGCTTCGTATCAATCATTACAAACACTATACTGCAATAATTTGGGACAAGTATAATCTAGGGAGAAACTCTGAAAAATATATATATTTTTCCTTGCAACTTTTCCAATATAATTGTTTTGTCCTGCTGCCATATTATTCTATACTGTTGCACTCAAACCTGCCTAATAAAGGGGCCATATAATGACAAGAAATATTTAATTTTCCTAATCTTTATTATTGAGTTCAGTCTCATTTCCCACTCTAAAACAAACACACACACACACACAATAAGCTTTGAATTTGTCTGCCATTTATGGACTGAAGAACCACACTCCCTCGGTTTAGTATATCCACACAAAACTATCTTCTCCCACATTAATCATATTGTAACTTACTTTGCAAGGACTTATTATTAAACTGGATCACATACCGAAGAAAAAACTTTCATTCTGTCAGTCATTTGCAATAAATGAGATTACCTTACCTATATATATATATATATATATATATATATATATATATATATATATATATATATATATATATATATATAGGGATATTAACCCTTTTCCGACGGGGTAATTGAATAAAAAATGGGGGAAATTCAGTGCTCATTTTTTATATTTTTTGTGAAATGTCCCTGTCCCTCTGCTAGTGCTTAGCCATAAAGGATTTCAACTTTCCTTGAATTGGCGCAAAAAATTTATTTTTACTAGTGCTATAAATATAGATGGTATTATATCTATTATAAACATTATAATTACTATAATGTTATAAACATTTGTAACAGCAAAATAAGATAACGTTAAATATTTTCGTAAATTGATGAAAAGGGTGAACGGGCGAGATAGGCGGTACTCGTAACTGGCTCATTGATGATTTAATACAAGTGTAGCCATCTATGTGTAAAAACGATTAAACAAGTAAACTCACAATGGGCATGGCATGTACGTACATGCCATGCCCGTTGGCAAAGGGTTAAGGAGATTATTGATTATTACGTAATATAAGCAAACTCTAAAATACACATATTCATAGTTTTCTTATTCTTTATGTTTATACTGGAAAAAAAAGGAAAAGAAAAGAAAAATATATATAAAACAGTGAACATCAAATACCCAGAGTAACATGAAAATTGGAATAATTTGTGTAAGGTACTTTATTATATAAAGAAAATTGGTGCCTTTACTAAAAGAAAGAAAGAAAAAGAAAGAAAAAGAAAGAAAAAAGAGAAAAGGCCAGAGGCTTTGCGCTTGGACTGAAAGCAACCTGACAGGACTATTCCCCTAAAATCCTTCAAGCCTTAAACAATAAAATTTCATTGCAAGGCAAATAGTAAAGAGCACTCAAGTTTCACTGAATTCTTAATTCTGTGACGAAAACATGGTTTACACAGTAAATCTGAGAAAAGTCTTCCACACCAGCTCTAGCCAAATTCTACTACATATAAATCTTAGCTAAGAAAAATTCCAATATTAGTACCTTATGCCCAGAACTCTACTAATAGTTTTCAGAGTTAATTTTCCTATTCTGAATCATATTTTCCATGATGGTACTTTCTCCTCTCCCTTGTTAATTATTCACTCTAGGGCTAAATCAAGCTAAAATTTGAAGGAAAGGGAGGTTTATGATCCATTTTGCGCACACACTGACAGCAGCTTCTTGATCAACGCCACAGGATGAAGAGCTATGACTGTGGCATTGTTTGCTCTGTGGCTTCGCTGACTTTGAAATGTGACCATGGATGTAGACTATCTTTACCTTGCACAAATTGTATTCTTTTATAGCAATTAGTTGGTATATCCTTATAAGACACCTGCCGTGCTTTTCAAGAGATAATTTTTCTTGCATTTTCACATATTGTCATTTATCCAAAACCACTGAAAACTTGCTGCGCAGTGTGTCGTATTGTCAAGCAACTGCTGCATCCTCCACACACACTGCTCCGCCAAAGGCAACAGAAGAGCACCACATATATTCTGGCAAGATATACCATGGACTGGTTTTTGATTTAATCATAAATCATCACTGAGATATGCAAATTTAATCTAGATCTATGGTAGAGATTGGTTAGCCTTAGCTGGAGAACCAACAGGTGCGGAGACGGTGTCACTCGGTGCGAAACCAATGGCTCACATATTGAAATAATGTATGTCCCAACCCATAGATACTTTCAAAAGAGAATTTTGGTTTATCTTTAAGGTATGGCCACACTAAGCCCGGGGGAACTGATATTATGGTAGAGGACATGTATTTGCCGTCGTCAGCACATGAAATAACCCGCAGACGGGAACCAAACGCCACGAATAAAGGAAAAAGATAGCAAAAAGCACCATGCGCGGCCTAAGTTCCCTCGGTGCTCCAGGTTTTCAGCTCCATACTGCCATGCATACTAATACTAAGGAGAAGGAAAGGCTTGGCGAGGGGGTGGTGGTGGTGCTGGTGGGGGGGGGGGATACCAAAAGGGAGTACCCAGCCACGGCAACTTAAGAAAACATTTTCATGGCCGGGTTGGGGGGGGGGGGGGGCTTCATCTCTTGCCAGTGTAACCCTAATGAAAAGAATTACCTGTTTTTTTTGTCTGATTACTATCATTTGCTGTATTTGGTCGGAACTTCAATTCTTCCCTTTAATTCTTAATGATAAAAAAAAAAAAAAAAAATCGTGCTCAAAATCTTAGTCATTTAAGAAATCATTAAGCTTAAAAAATCCCCAAACATCTCTATTAATATTTCCTTTTTTTCCCCCTCTCTTGAGGACAAGAGAGAGAAAAGGAAAAGCGGAGAGAACGAAAAAACTTCACCAAAGTCACTCACAAGAAATGGATAAAAAGCCTTAGTGCTAAAAGAGAATCCCCAAAAGTTAATAAAGGCGGAAAAGAAACTCGGCCTCTGTTAAAAGCCTCTGCGCGACGGCCCTTTAAACCCCCCGAGAACAAACGGGCTAATTTCTCCCACCTTTTGCTGACGGAGTGCGAGTCTCTCCCCGCTATGGCTCTGTCGCTGCTGCCTTTGCTCGGACTCGCCGTCGTGCTGTTCCCCGGTGCGATATTCTGGGCCATTTTGAAGGAAAATCGAGGGAGCGTCTGCAGCACCTTTTCCTCCTAGCGAGACGGATTCA